CCTGTTCCTACATACAATTTCCTATCTGGCCCTATCTGGCAGTCACATCTTGTTTTGAGCAGTAAATAGCAGAGTTCTGCCTTTATCTATCCTAGTATCAATGTGCTATGTCCAACTATCAAAAAACTCTTTACATCTCATAAAACATGTAACTTATCCTTTTTTACTATAAAGCAAGTAGAATGCCCTGCCCAAATCTGAAATGTTCTAAATGCTTAGAATTGTCCTCAAATAAAAAGTCACATCATTTAAACAGAAATTGATAATACGACATTTCCACCTTAATAAAGGCATGTAACCCAAATGTCAAAAGAAGGTTAAACTGATAGATATTGATTCTTCATAAATATTATTTTTTTGTCTTAGTGTTTATTTTTTTCCTTCTGTTCAAATCTATTGTATCTGTTTCTTCTGGACTCAATATTTTTTTTATCATTGGTATTCTAAATTGCATTCTTCAATACAGTAGCTACTAGTCAAAATTAAATACAATTAAAGCATTTAAAATTTTAAATTAACCAAAAATTAATTTGTAAATAAAATTAAAAATTAATTTCCTAGTGACTAGCTATATTTCAAAGGCTCAATAGGCACATATGACTAGTTGCTACGATATTAGTCAGTGCTAGAGAGTCTTTTTTTCACAGCAGAAAGTATGATTGGAGATCTTTTCTCTAGAATATGCATGCCTATTAATTCCTTCATCTACTACTGGTATTATTTGTTAGGAAGAGTTTTACGGAGTATACCAGAGATATTTTATTTGAATATATGTTAACCTAAGTGTAAGATCAGCTAGTCTGGGAGAAAAAGTTATGGGAAGTAAGACACAAAACACAGTTAGCAGAATTTTTTTTTCAGTTTTTTAAGCTAAAGGAAACAAAGATGAAGTGTCTGTTATGATATACCAGAAGTAACACATTATCTTAGATTTGACCTCTACTCTTCTGGGTGGTAAAGGTTTTTCTTAACATGTTTGGGAAAAACAAAAACAAAAACAAAAAAAACAAGTATATGCTGTTTCACAAAACCAAGAAGCCTTCCTTGGATGGCTCTGAAAATGTGTTCATCACAAGATTGTTAGCCCTCCAGACAGGGCTTGTTCATAATGTTAACAGTCTATCCTTTGGGATTAGACTTTCTGGCAAGGCCTGCTGAATTGAAGGATGGTTACTTTCCCAATTATGTATGCATTGCAGCAAGACATATTCACTTTGATTCAATAAATTACATGCCCATGTATGTGTTACATAACCTATAAGAAATAGTGTTCAACACGGGTACTGGTTTTGAGGTAGCCTAGTTTTCATTGTCTGAAAACTAGGATGGTACATCACATACCATGTTTAAGATTAAGCCTTGTTACATTAACATCCTTATAAGATGCAAATGATCTAATCTGTTCTTTAGAGTCAATGAATGTGGCCCTGATTATCATTCAGTTTTATGTATCTTGTATATGTGTGTATATATGTGTACGTCTATAGCAGTGTTTTCCAACTTTGGCACTGTTGATACTTGAGGCATTTGAGACAGTATAATTCCTTGTTGTCAGGGTCATAGTGTCCTATGTATTGCAGGATGTTTGGGATCAACCATGGCCTCTACCCACTAGATACCATCAGCACCCCTCCACCTCACCTAGTTGTGACAACGAAAAATGTCTCCGGACATTGTAGATGTCTCCAGGAGGGCAAAATAGTCTGTATTTGGGAAGCACTGATCTATGGTAACCTTTTAAAAGTGAGACTGCAAAAAAGTGATAATGACTAAACACAAATGATGCAAAAAGAAGTACATTTCATTAGACAGTGTATGTTTATAAATATATTTCTATAAATGAAAATATAATGTGCTATTAGGAACATTTATTTAGTGCTGCTTTTGGCCTTCAATACCTTCTTACTAACAATGTAGTAAAACTACTGGGACTGGGAGGTATTTATTTAAGGTCTGGACCTCAACCCTCCATTCTTTCATGATAATTTTTAAAATTTGATAAAAATATTATATAAATTACATAATATTCTTTACTACATGGTCAAATCTCTGTATTAGATCTTTTAATAACAATGAATAATCTTTTCAATCTCACTTTAAGCATAGTTTCACAAATTTCTAGTGAGGCTTCTACCTCTGTTCTTAGTTATCTGGTATGAACTTGGAAATAGCAGGAAAAAACAAAAAACACAAAACAGAAAACCTTCAATCCTTTGCTAGGCTCATGCAGAGGGATGTCTGGCGGTCTTTTGGTTTGAGTGGAAGGAAAGCACACTCTGAGTTGAGAATCCTTGGTCAAGTTCTCTATCACTATGCAAAAATCATTAACTCCTTGATACCTCCTGTATTGCAATAGCAAATGTCTCTCTTGAGTATAGCCACACAAAGTTATACTGTTTAAAACAGACATGGCTACATATTGTATGGCACAGTATTATAGGGTAGTGAAAAGTGAATTTTCTTTATGACTTTAGAGCTTTACTCATCTACTTTTTTTTAGTTACAACGATGTACTGACTTAGACGTAGTTTAATCAAGCTTCTCTAATTCTACATGACATTGGGCTGGGCACATTGTAATTAGAACTTTGTTTTCTTACGTATAAAACAAAAATCGGATACCAGTTTCTGAGGTTGTTAGGATTTGAAAAACTAGCATATGAAAAGGCCCTGGTCTAGTGGCATTCAGGGAAGGTCGAGTCCTTTTTCCTAATAAAGGACAGATAGAGAAAGTAGTTATTATATGCTATGCTGTAGAATGCTCTTCTTAGGCTCTGATAATATAAAGAAGCAATCCTCCTGTCTGGCTGAAATAGGCCCGGGCTCAGATTTCATAGCAGTTGTAGGTAACAGCAGAGTAGCAATGGTTGCCAATGAACCTCATCCCTGGCTCAACTCTATTGGAAACAGTTGCAACTTTCTGCTTCAGTGGCAGCCCCAACAAACATTAAGATAGGACAATCAGGGCTTAGGAAATGTGAGAGACTGGCAGGGATTCAGGCTGTACTGGAGTGTCAAATCAACTAAGAAAGAGATGGTGCTTAGAAGCCAAAATAGCCACACCATCTTCTGTCTCTTTTGTCTCAAATGGCTCACGTTTGAAACAGTCTGAGAATGTGTGGCATAAAATACATATTCAAAACATCATATGTCAAATCTGTGGCTTGTGAAAATTTCTGTACAAAAAGAAAATTCTTTATTAACAATATGGAATCAAAATTAGCTCTATGAAAACCTTTCTTAGTAGAGCCCTTAATAAACACATCAATTTTTTAATCATCTCAAAGATGGCCTTTACAATGTAGACTATTATATATGATCATATTTCTGAAGTAAAATTACAAGGGTTACAAAGGAGCAATGCTGCTTTTCAGAGTCCAACCAATGAGAATGATAAATGGAGTGAATAGTTAATTGAATGTAGTCACATTGCAATTCTCATGGTTTATCATCTACAAACTGAGAGTTTTAACACAAATCAAAAAATATTTATGAAAATAATGTTACTTTGCCCAGAGAGCCTCTGATACCCCTTTATTTAATTATAATTATTTAAAATTATCTTAGCAGATGAAGAGTTGATGTCGGTCCAGATTCACACATTCATGAATGACATCATGGTCTTCTCAAAATGAGGCTGCACAAGCCATCAGAGATACGCTTCCAAGACTAGAACAGGGAGTAACTTCCTTCCAGATGTCATCATGGGAACAATATGATCAAAATCCATCATTGATATAGTTTGAATATTTGTTCTCACCCAAATTTCATGTTGAATTGTAATACCTATTGTTGGAGGTGGGGCCTGGTGGGAGGCATTGAATCATGAGAACAAATGCCTCATGAATGGCTCGGGCCATCCCCTTGATGATAAGTGAGCTCTCACTCTGAGTTCACATGAGATCTGGTCATTTAAAAGTGTGTGGTACCTTCCTTCCCATACTCTCTCTCACTTGTTCCTGCTCTTGCCATGTGACATATCTGCACCCCCTTTACCTTCTGCCATGATTGTAAGCTTCCTGAGGCCTCCCCCAAAGCCAGGCAGGTGTTGGCACCATGCTTCCTATAAAGCCTGCAGAACCATGAGCCAATTAAACCTCTTTTATTTATATATTACCAAGTCAGGTATTTCTTTATAGCAATGCAATAATAGCCTAACACAATGGTTCATTACGAATTATTATTATTTCAAAAATAAATCTTACAACATTTGTCTGAAAAGTTCAATTATTTTTATTATAGTTTAGTGTTAAAATAGTTTACAGGAAAATATTTAAATATTTTAAAAAATTATAACACTTTATTTTTTCATTTTTGATATGATGGTGACCTAAAAATTGGAGCTCTCTATCTCTGAGAGCTTTGCTAATGTCATTCTTATTGTTTATTGTAATGGCAACCTGCATAGCACCAGAGCAGGAGGTAACTGGGCCACTAAATAACATCTGAAGTTTCAATAACAGCCCTTTGTCATGAAAGATGATGACTGAAAGCATTTTGTCAATGTTCTGTAGGATAGAATCCAGAATTCTGGGCTATCACCACTATATCACTCCTGGAGTCCAAAAAACATTAAAAAGGATTTAACAAAATAATTAAATTGAGCTCATGACTTGAGGAGATTTTGTATTTGGCAAAGGCACTTGAGAGCAAAATCTTCCCTAGCAACCGGTTAATTATGATCTCTTGGCTATGTTCACCAATACCCCCATCATCCATTCAGACACTGTTTTTGTCTGCATTTCACAGATACATATAGCTATCAATTCATCTAAAGTCCTGGGTGCTCTACTTAAGAAAGGAATTTACCTGTAATAGATTAAACAGTATACTTGATGACATTTTGAAATGTAAAATACACTAGAAATCGGTGCTGTTATTTTTCTCAGATAAATCGCTGCACTGATTATCATGAAGTACATTGATGTCACTATCACTATGACAACATTGTGACAAGAACTAGTCACTCCAAGCTACCTAGTAAAAGGAAATGTCATCTATATTTCTGAATAAAATATAACACACAGGACCTCTGCTTTTGTACATAAATTAGTACCTTACTGGCTAGGGAATGTTGAATCACAGTTGGATGAAGAAACAATTCATATTAGTGTTTCTCTAAAGGTAAGATTTGAATATTTGAAAAATGTATACTGTAACTTTTTGATCAATTAAAAGGGAAGCCTGGTTTTATCATAATATAAGGACCTATTTGATGGAATAAATGCCCTTCTCTTTATTTGATTATATTTTGCACTTAAAGTACAATTCAGTTATAGGAACAAATAGTCTAAATAGGTGAGTTTTGAGATATATTTGAAGATTATTACGTGAAGCAACATTTGAATCAGCCTTTATACTTTTAGGATGTTGCATAATTTTTAATTTTCAGCTTTTAAAGATAGAAGTGAGTCATCTACTTGTACTATTCCTTTTTTAATTAAGCAAAGATTTAAAATCTTTGTTGCTGTTGAAAAATAACTTGTTTCTCATGTATTTTCTTCCCCCTTTCCCCAGGGGTGTCCTACAGAAAATACATGCAGCATGTTATAACCGTAGGAATAAAGTATTAGTCATCACAAACACTACTCATTTACAAATGCACAGCTGCCAGTATTTTTGGGTTATTTATGCTCAATTTTGTACTTGTTTTAGTTTGTACAGTATAGTGTCAGTATTCTGACATTTGGTGTTTAAAGAACTGTATTACCACATGATATGACATGGAACAGTTGACAAATGGCAATTTTCCCAGTAATGTTTGCCTTTTTATTTGATCTGAGCCAAATCCAAAACTCTTAAGAGGAATTCCTTCCTGATAAGACTTGGTTAATTTAAATAATATATTTTAAATAATATGATTTAAATTTATTTTAAATAATTTTAAATTTATATGTTTTAAATTTATTTTACATATTTAGATATTTAAATATTTTAAATTTATTATTATAAAAATATATTTTAGATTTATTTTTATATGTAATTTATATATACACAACCTGTCTTAAATTTAAAATTCTACTATTTATTTTGGTCAATTAAGACAATGTGACTGTTATACATCATATATAATATGGGCTGTAATCTCAGAGATGGTCACTTTAATGCCTTATAATTTCTTAATTGCATAAACATGATTAAAAGGCTATTTTTTTTCTAATGCATTATATGGTGCTAGAGACACTGAAAGAAAAACAGAAATATCTTTGGTGAAGGGTGTGTTATTCTGAGTGTATTAACTAATGCAAAAACTCAAAGTATGTTTTTAGTATTACTCAAATACCTATTTAGAACAATTGAGAAATAGAAAAATTGAGCATGGAAAATAAGTAGCTCCAGGTCTCTCTGATAAATAGTATGATTAACTTAATTTTCAATCCATATGTTATTGTATCAATTTCTGTTTTAGAGTCCAGACACATATATTTTGATTATATTAATTTAACTAAACAATATTTTCTAACTTATACTGACTGTGGCTATAATATACACAATATAGACAAAGAAGAAAATACATTTAATTTCAATTAAAATGTTTTAAATATTCTTAATAGTATTTAAATAAAAATTAAATAGAGGTAAGCATAGACATAAGCAGAGAATAAATATATTCAAAAGTCTGTTGGATACATAGAAACTTCAAGATGGGAGGATTTCAGACTTGTATTTTTAGTGAAAAAAATTCAAAATTGATTGCCTTGTAAGAGATTTATTTTCTAGAGGCATACTTCCCCTACAAATTATAGTTTCTATTTTAAAATAAGCCTTTAGCAGAGCATATTGTATATCATTAAAAAAATCTGTTCCAAACCATCCATCTAACCTATTTTTATCATATAATACAAGCATTAGTTGGATTTCCTAGACCCTATATAACATTAACTCACTTTCTGCAAGCTCCCACCTATACATATATGTACACACATATGCAAACATACATTCACATGCTTTGTGTTTAGAGTGGAAAGATAAGTATGTGCATATTCTTCTTTGTAATCCAATGATATATTTCACTATAATTACATTTTAATCTCTCTGTTAAAAATTTTAAAGAGATAAACAAACTTAGAATCCAATTTCCTAATAATAATTTTTTATTTGAAGATTTAAGCAACGTAGATTTTGTCTTCTTTTTTTTTTTTTTTTTTTTTTTTTAACAATCTTTGAAAGGACATCAGCAATCATGTTCTTATAAGAGGCATTCAAATCTTAAGAAACTGAGTTCAGATCTAATGGAATACTAGTCATGTCTTTAATTCATCACTTCAGTGTGATGATTACTCCTTCATCTAATGTTTTAAATTTATTTAAGTTCAGTGATTTTAGAGTAAGTCAGAAGGAGAAGGTAGCAAGTTATTTTTTTCTTTTCCTTTCCTATGGATTGGAAAACAAATGCTTTAGTTAACCAATCTGGAAATGAATAAAAAATTGTTGCTTATAAATTTAGGATAAAAGGAGACGCACAGTCTCTGTTAGTCACAAAATGATATAGTCCAGTTTGCCAGCAAAAGTTACATCAAATAGCTTTTAGAGTACATAAGGAATTCTAAAATTTAGAAATATATTAAATCAAAAATGGAGATTTTTACTAGTATTTATGTTATAGAATGATGATATGTTAAGCTTTAGTTTATTTTCAATACATGGTGAAAATGGCACTTGTGAATAAAATAAGCATTCCAGACTAATTTTTTTCACACCTAGAACCTAATGTAAAGTGGCCTGCCGTTATTGTCTGTAGTAACATCATCTTGAGTTGCTTTAAAAATGCCTTCAATAGGCCGGGCGCGGCAGCTCACACCTGTAATCTCTGCCCTTTGGGAGGCCTAGACTGGCAGATCACCTGAGGTCAGGAGTTCAAGACCAACCTGGCCAACATGGTGAAACCCCATCTCTACCAAAAGTACAAAAAATTAGATGGGCATGGTGGTGCACACCTGTAATCACAGCTACTCAAGATGCTGAGTCAGGAGAATTGCTTGAACCCAGAAGGCCGAGGTTGCAGTGAGCCGAGATTGTGCCACTGCACTTCAGCCTGGGCAACAAAAGTGAAACTCCATGTCAAAAAAAAAAAACAAAAGTGCTTTCTATATCCTTTTGTAGGCAAGCCTAGGCATTGCTGTGACTTTTTAAAGGAAATAAAAATAAATAAAAGGTTTTCATCTATCCAGGAATTTTTCCAGTGTTGCATTTGATAAGTTTAATTTTAATGTACTTATTATTTCTTTTTTTATCCTTTTTCCTAAATAAGCCTAGTTGGTCTCACAAATGTTGCTTTAAATTCAATTGACTGTCTTGCAGTTAGAATATGAAAAATTGGCTAGGAATTTTTACTCAGCTACAAATCTTGAACCAAATAATTCTTGTAAAAGTACTGTATTTAATGTTCACACAGTCAGCTATCTTGTGGCTAGAGTTTTCTGCCAAGAGTACACCACAAGCTTTTTGTTAATATTATTCAGAAGTGGGAAAGGAGGTAGGAAACTTGATTTCCTGCAATACGAATGAGATTTTTCCCTCTAATATCTCAGAGCTCAGTCAACATAGGGGCACTTTGAAATATATTTATTTATGACTATTGTTCCTTTCATGAGCCCAAGAATTCTCCAGCTTCTGAAATACACGTCTTATTTACTTGCTATCACCATCTGTCAGAAAATATTTTGAGTTGAACAGAAGCAGCAGAAGAATAATCCCACCTGCAGATGCTGTTCAACTGAGAGATTAATCCCAGCAATTGAAATCATCAGGAAGAGAGTTCTGACTTAGTTTTCTTTTCATTGTGACACAAAAGTTTACCTTATTTGACTCTTTGGGAAAAGGAAAGTAAATGCTAATTATATTTCATTCAGATTTGCATTTGAAACTTTAGAGCTTTACGAAAATATTATTCAAGAATTCTGTGACACCTTCCCTGCCATATCCTGACCTTGTTTCCCTAGTATCTGTGCCATCCTAGTGTACACTGTCCATCTGCACTCCAGCCTGCCATTCAGAAATGGTGTCCATGGCTGGGGAGGAGTTTGGGGTTAACATTTGAAAAAGAGATTCAAAGAATACTATGCAGTGTATTCCTGGCTTCAAGATTTGCATCCCTGTTAAAGCAAGATAAAAGTATTGCCTTTGAGAGTCAGGGGGAGAATTACAGCAAGGCAGTCATTCACCTTTGGGGAAAGGGTATGAAAACAAGTGGGCAATTTTACCTGCTTTCATTTTGTGATTGATGACATGGGAGCATTTTGAGGATATGCTATGTGTTTTTTTCTCCTTTGGTTGATTTATTTATTTATTCCTTCCTTCCTTCCTTCCTTCATTTCATTTTTCCTATGAGTAACTCACTTTTTCATGTATTCAATCAACTAACATTTATTGAACATTATAGCTTTATAAATCTTTTTTTTTTTTTTTTTTTTTTTTTTTTTTACTTTATTTGCCAAACTTCTTTCTGCCTCAAGTTTCTACAGTTTCACATTACGCTGTTTTATTTCTTCATAGCACTTGTCACTTCTGGAAGCCATACTATTTTTTTTTGGTATATTATCTGATTCCCTCTTAGGAAGTGTTAAGTTTCATGAGAAAAGAAACTTTATGTTGTTCATTGCTGAATTCCCCAGATGTAGGAGGATGCCTGGCATGTGATGCTGATAGTTCGTCATCATCATCATCATCATCATCATCATCATCATTGGTAGCAGCCAATCTTTACAAAACTTTTAATTTTTTTTCAGTAAATGAAGGAATGAATGATTGAAGTCACATAATATAATTTGTTGGCATTAATTAAGCCCAACCCATGTTACTGCACCTAATGATCTATTGATCCCATACATTTTCACTTTCAAATACAGTCACATGCCACATAATAATGTTTCATTCCAGGACAGGCTGCATGTGCAAGGAATTACATGATAATTACACTATAATAATTTATAGTAAAAATGAAAATTTTCTATAGTCTAGTGATGTCTTAGACTTCATAATGTCATAATGTGTTGGTATAACACATTGCCTTTTCTATGTTTAGATGTTTAAATACATAAGTACTTACCATTGTGTTATAATTGCCTACAGTATTCAGTTTAGTAATGTGTTATACAAGTTTGCAACCTAGAAGCAATAGGCTA